GGCACAAATGCACTGCAGTATGTTTGTCAGTTATTGAATGCATCACAGTTCAAATGCACTTTAGTTTATAATACTGATAATACCTTTATATTTTTATACTTTTACTTTAGTAGGATTTGGAATGCAGGATAAAGAAAATCTATATTTTTAAACCTTAAAAGAGCTTTTGTGAGGCAGAGACATGAGGTTTTCTTGTCTTGAAACACAAGTAATACATTCTCTGAAGGTTACCTACAGTACTCTTAATCATCTGAATCTGAAGCTCTAGACTCAAGGCACTCTCGTCGAGGCCCAATCAGTTACCACGGCAACGCCACCACGATTAGTCAAACAATACACACACAACAGCCAAACACCAAAAAACAAACGTGTAGTTAAAAAAAACGTCCACAGAAGAAGAAACCGACCAAACATTTATTTAACAGAGGTCAAAGTCAGCAGAGCGAGGATGTCACCGTCACAGTGGCTGCAGCGTTATTAGACCTGCACCGGAGAAACCACCTGCTTCTTGTAAAGCAGCAATGCAAATCATGCATGACATAATACTGCGTGTGTGTGTGTGTGTGTGCGTGTGTGTGTGTGTGTGTGTGTGTGCATGCGTGTGTATGTAGGTGTGTGTGAGAGGCTCTGAGGCTCTGTGTTTTATCTTCTGTCCTTTTTCATTAATCCTCTGTGCGTTTGGACGTCTGCCTGCACAAACTTTGTCAATCAGGCTTTAGCTGCATTTAAACAAAGGCTTTACAGCAGAGTCCAGTTTATACTGAAGAGTCATGATCAAGCACAGACAAGCAGCTCTGCACTGTAAAAAAATACAAAAAACAACAACACCATCAATTCTTTGTTTGTTTGTGTCCATCGTCACAAAATATGCTACAGGGCATCTTTTCTTTTTGTACATTTTATTAAATAAATTAAAATATCAAAGTAACTCATGGCGTAACATTTACTAAACGTGGACTCAAGTCTTGAATGTATTGGACTCGAGTCAGACTTGCGTCACAAATTTGATGACCATCGACTCGACTTGACAAAATCAAAAAAAAACTTGCAACTTGACTTTGACAACAATGACTTGTGACTTCACTTGGACTTCAGCCTTTTCACTTGAAAATACTTGAGACCGTCACCGAAGCCCACATAGTAAAAAATATGTTATTTAAAAAGTGTGCAACCAATCAATTAATTTCCTGAATCCACTAACATTAACGTTCTTCATTCTCAGAAAGTCAACAGCAATTCTCCAGGTCCACTATGTTTGAACCAATCTGACAGCATCCAGTCAAGTTTCAGGAGAAGAACCATGAAGAACTAACGGAGAATATTATACCAAAGATCATATTGTAACAAAAAATGATTTATGCAAAAAGTACGGGTTGAAAAACACAGACTGATACACAAATATTGCATTTGGTATTACAATTGGTTAAGAATGAAATATAACTTGTTTATGTCTTGAAACTCAAAGTTTAGGACTTGGGACTTGACTTGGGACTTGACTTGGGACTTGACTTGGGACTTGTCAGTCTTGAGTGCAAGACTTGAGACTTACTTGTGACTTGCAAAACAAGGACTTGGTCCCACCTCTGATACTAGAAATACTCAGATGTTGTACTTGCGGTAAGCAAAAGTAGTAATACCACAAAGAAGAAACACTCTGTTACAATTAAAAGTCCTGTGGTTAAGAAAAAAAAAGTATATAAAAGTAAGAATACAAAAGTTTTAGCATCAAAATATACATAAATTGCAGTACTTGAGTGAATGTACTTAGTTCCTTTCCAACACAATTGAAAGATTATTTATTTCAAGAACATGTTGATTTTTTTGTGAAGTATTTGAAGTCCTTCAAATTGAAACACAAAATATGTTTTCGGTCTATCATTACATGGTATTATGCTGAGTAAAGGATCTGAGTACTTTTTCTGTCATATTCTGCATGAGCTTTACTTTGGAGTATTATTACACGTTGGTACTGCTACCTGTGCTTGGACTAAATAAAAGATCCGAGTACTTCTCCATCCGTATTCTGAGTGACTTTTACTACTACTTAGTATTAATACACAGTGGTACTGGTACCATTACAAAGATCTATAAGTACTTCCTCTACCAAATTCTAAGGGATTTACACTTCTACTGGAGTATTATTACACAGTGGTACTAGTACCATAACTTATCTAAGTAAAGTATCTCATTCTGCGCAACGTGTACTAATTTACACACAATGTTACTGCTAGTAAAATATCTTATAATATACTTTATCGCTATATTGTGAGTCAAATTGCCTTAGCGTCGTTTTTTACAGTGTAGAAGAGAGCTGGCGATGAGAGGGAGGTGGAGGGAGGGGGGGAGGGTGAAAAGAGGAGGAGGAGGAGGAGGAGGAGGAGGAGGAGGATGGTCCTGCTGTCAGACACAGATGAGAATACAGCGGCAGGTTTCAGCAGGGCACCGCAGATTAGATAATCACATTTATTCTCTCCTTGGGGAGCAGCGGGGACCAATGGAAGCGGAGCGACGAGTTGAGGACGAAAGAAAAAAGAATAATTGTATTGTAATTTAATCCAACTCCAGAGCTGCCGGACAGACGACGTGTGCAGACCGGAGATGCTGAACGGACACACGGCGAGCCTGCAAACTTCAGAGTGGATTTATGAACTGTGACAATACTCCTGCTGGTTTCTGAGCTTCAGTTTATTAATAACAATAATATTAACTACTATGGCTTAATTAGTGTGGAGCGTCTTAATTATAGCAACAGATGAGAAAATGCACGGGACAAATAACAGAGACATTAAAGAGCTGAGGCAGCACACCTGCGCCCTTTAAGGTGAGTGAATAAACGACTTGCATTTAAATGACACAGCGGCCATTATTTAAATAACAGGGATTTGTCTTTATCTGATTTCTGATTCCAATTAAGTCAAACCTCGGAGTGTAAAGACTTCACGCTCTACTGCTGATAGGTTTTACATTGACTCTATGAAACAGTTCAGTTTAATGAAGATTATTTCTCTTTTAATAATGTTAATAATGTTATTTATTTATAATAATGTCTTAGGTTTGGACAAAGCCAACAGGTGTCCCTTTGGGCTCTGGCATTTCTCAATCGATTCATGTAGAAAGTAATCAGCAGATGAATCCATAATGAAAATGATCAGAATGAGCTCTACCTCAACCAGCTACAGCAGTAAAATCCTGCTTTTACATTAAAGCATGAGTAATAATAATTTAATGACATAGTAATTAATAGTAGACTACAACAGACACAGAAGTATATTTTACCGATAACATACTTTTACTAGCAGGACTTAACAGAGTATTTTCACAGTGTGGTATTTTTACTTAAATAATCTGAATAATTCCTCCACCATCTTGATATTATAATTATTCAAAAGTTGGTATTGGGACAGATAGTTGTATCTGTATAAATCTGGAGTATATGTGCAGTATATGTGGAATCATTTTGAAAGTCTACATTTGGAAAGAATAATTTTGCTTATTATTATTTTTACTTAATGTTGGAAGTCCTGCATTCATAGTTTTATTCAAATATAAGTACAGAATTAATGCAAAATGTACTTAAAATCATCAAGAGTAGAAGTATTCAGGCAGTAGAGTGGCCTCTTTCAGAGTGTTTTATATTATTATTGTTATTATTAACACCGGTACATTAATGTGTAAGCAGCAGTTTAATAGTGCAGCTGGTTCAGGTGAGGCTCATTTTAACTACATGCTGTTGGGTAATTCTGTTTTATTCACTTTATTTTATAGACTGATGACATGTTTAGTGTGTAAACTTTAAATCTGCGACGTCATTTGTAACTATGGCTGTCAAATACATTTAGGGGAGTAAAAATTACAATATTTACCTCTGAAATCTAGTGGAGTAGTAGCAAAATACTTCACAATGAATCTCAAGTACTTGACTTGAGTAAATGCACTTGGTTCATTTCCACCACTGACCTTCAGCATCTTACCAGGAAGCTTTCAAGGATCCACCTGCTGGAGAAAATATGGAAGAACAATGTTTTTGAGAATGTCAAAATTACATATTATTCCATTTGAATTAAAGAAACATGTGATAATCATTATGTCATTATAGTAGTAATAAAGCAGGACTAATGTAGTAACCGAAGCACAGTTGATGATGGTAAACACCACATGGTGGCATTGCGGTGAAATGAAAAATAGATTCGTCCTCTGTATGTAAAATGTTCAATATTATCAGAATCTAATTCCAAAGGTTTCTTTAAAACAAACAGCCTACAAGCCGCACAATAGAGGACAACGATATGTCCATGAATCAATGCACCTGCAGATCAAGTTAAAACATAGAAGAATTAACAGTAGGTATTAATAGGTATGAAAAGGATTTACTCTTTGGTGCTCACAGCATTTAAACATTGCATTCAAAAGAAGTCAACAGCAACATTTATTTCTGGGCCCAATTTCTGGCCTCCGTGCAGAGGAGCTGGAAACCTTGAAGAGTGTTTATTATCAGTTTTACTGTTTGTAAAGCTGGTTTGATGTCAATTCATCACCAGATTATAGCTGACATTTTTACAAAATCTATATTTTCTATCTTGTCTATCAGTAAAAAACATTCATAGAATTAGTGTTATACTTTCGACAGTTTTCATGGGACTATTTCTTTGGAGTCTGCCCTTGAAGCTCAGGTAGATATCTATTTCCATTAAACACCTTTTTAAGGATGTCAGCTTGAAACAGAATTTGTAGTTTCAGGAGCTTTTTCAGTTATGCCGGCTTGTCGTCCTCAGACATCGTAACCTCTCCGGCTCGTTCACACCCCGATGTCACACCAGAGTCTGTGAGAGTTTGTAAGGTCACTCAGCGATGTTGACAATGTCACTAGAATCCAGACATGAATTGGTGTGAAGTCCACTCAGAAGGGTGTCAGGGCTAAAAGTGGGGGGCTAAGATATTTTCTTCTTTTTTTTCAGTGAATTGTGATTTACAAAAGCCCATTACATGTAGTGTGCTGATTCTTAGTTCTTAATTAGTCAATCATTCAATGAGTGTTAAGAGCTGGAAACAATGTGGCGAACATAGAGTGTATAACATGTGGACGTATTCTCTGTGACGTCACCCGTAGGTTTCTTAAGGCTCCAGCCTAACCTTAACAAATGGGTAAAGAGGTGGATTGTCGTTGGAGGTGAGACGGCACCTGTAACTCAAAGCGACCACTCCATCAATTATGCCTCACTTTTAGACTTAATATAATTTAAACAAGTGAGTTATATAAAAATGTACTCCCCCTACAGTTGTTATGAACAGGGAAATTAGCCACAGAGACCAAAACCCTTTTTTGTACCAGGCTGTAAACCTGTTTATTTGTGCTCTAAAGTTTGGCATTTTAACATGGAGGTCTATCATTGACGCGCTTTTGGAGCTGCTGCCAATCGGCCTCAATGGCCAGCTGCAAAAAAAAAGAAGCTTCTGTAAAACTTCACATCAAACTGCAAAAAGTGTCAATTATTACTCTTTATATTGTAAATTTTAAATGCAATTATGTTTTGTCCTGAATTAGCTTGTGCACATTTTGGATCAAGGATAAATTTAAGAATCAGGATCAACAGTTAGATAGAAATGGGTGTCATCTGCATAGTAATGAAAGTCAATGAATGTTGATCCTTACTGGTACTACACCAAAAAATAGGGGACCCAGGGCAGAGCCTTGTGGTACTCCATATGAAATGCCAGTTTGCAATGAGGTATTAAACTGAGACAATTCAAAGGTAGTATTAACAGAAAAATAGTTTCATAAGGACTTGACGTACAAAAGATTGATCTTTTATTGTAATTTGTCATTACAGCTTCTCTAAGGATCCTCCTTCTAACTTCCTGTCAACTGGATATATAAGAACCTATTCCATCCCGTCACATACACTGAAGCCAGCATGCCCATCATCAGCAATGCCAACCACGACTTCAGCACCTACTCAATCAGCAGTGACGACAGCAGCCTCGACCAATTCTTCACCGAGATCCCGGAGACTGAGACCATCAAGGGCGTTTACTTCCAGCGTGCCCAGCTCCTTCGAGACCCCAAGGCTTCATACGTTGTCGACCACACCCTGCAGGTTCTCATCAATGTCGGGGGCAACCGCTACACCTTCCCCTGGAGCACCTTGGAGCAGTTCCCCCAGAGTCGTCTGGGACGTCTACGTTTCTGCACCACCCCAGAGGAGATCGCACGACTCTGCGACGACTACGACGAGACGTGCCAGGAGTACTTTTTTGACCGAAACCCGACGGCCTTCAGGGTCATCCTCAACTTCTTGGCCGCGGGGAAACTGCGTCTGCTTCGGGAACTGTGTGCCGTGTCACTACACGATGAGCTTAACTACTGGGGTGTGGACCCGAGCCATATGGAGCGCTGTTGCCGCCGTCGCATGAACACCCGTGTGGAGGAGGTGGCCGAGCGAGAGCGTAAGGAACATGAGTGGAGGCAGAAGAGGGTGATGCTGAAGAAAAGCACCACAGAGACCAAAAAGGGCTATCACAAACTGACCTGGATGCTTCGAGAGGTGGTGGAAAACCCTCAGTCGGGGTTGGCTGCGAAGATGTTCGCCTGCCTCTCGGTGGTCATGGTACTGGTCACCGTCATCAGCTTGTGCATCAGCACCATGCCAGACCTCAGAGATGAAGAGACCAGGGTGCGTATGAAGCTGAAGAAAGTCTGACGTAACATCCTGTTAAACCTGTTTTACACACATTAATCATTTTCTCTGTTAACAGGAAAATACATATTACAGTGAAAAGAGGTATCAAGTGATACTAAATAAGTAAATTAACCAAAACATCATTATATTATGTGCTAATTATATTTTCTGAAGCTGCACTAATCAACATCTATATACAGTATAGTGATGAATTCTGCAGGTTCTCCTTCAGTTCCTTGTCTTCATTGTCTGGCATGCAACTTTACGGTTTTGTTTTTTTCACTCCATACACTCATCAGCGTCATTTTAAGCCAAAAACCACTGATGAGCACCAAACGACAGACACCGTTAGCAACAAGCTGGTGATGACAGTGGAGCAGCTAAAGAGTCAGATATTATTCTCAGGTGTTGCTGGAAATTAAAAGCTAAAAGGAGAATGAATGAAAATGCAACTACAAATGAATGCTCTGTGACACATTTAATCATTGTAATTCTTCAACAATACAATTTACCTTACATATACCTTATATATATTTTTAGTTTTTACAGCTTTTTCAAGTCAACAGTTAATAATCATAGGCAAGAATGAAATGAAATATGTCCTGTGTGAAATGCAATTAATAAGTGAACCCATAATAAAACATTTTAAAGGTCAATTCAATAAAAATAGATAAATATGTCACTGCAGTAAGAAGACAGGTAACATCTCAAGAATAAAAGCCAAAGTCTGGGTTATTTGTAAAGCTTAAAGGTTTTAATAAAGTATAAGTATATTAATAATTCCTCTCAATCAACGCAGGAAGGCATCCAAGAGGAAGCTACAAAAATGGTGGACTACTAAAAAAAATGCAGATAGAAGAAGGCGAAAGGCCAAGTGGACTAATTTAATTCCAACACGAGAGTGAATCTGTGGCTGGCTTTCACTTTCCCTGCAGTATGTGATGCTGCAAGTGGTACACTGAGCCATGCTCTAGCAACCGTGGTCAGGTGCACTTCTAGTGTCATTGAGCCGAGGGGAAGACGGGCCAATGTTTAATGAGTTTACAAACAGCAGGTGACAATTCGTGCATAGCACGCCTTTAGGGGTGGAGAGAGGATATGAAATGACTTTTGCCAATGTACATGTCAAATCACAGATTTCTGCTGTTGTCTGAGTCAATAGAAGCAGACAGGCTGTAGAAATGATTGTTTAAATAACTGTCAGTGTAAAGAGGCTGGTGATTATGTTTCTAAGCCGGACACGGTGGATTGATTTCTCCCTGATGTATGTGCAGTCAATCGCACAAATCAAGACACGAGAAAAATCAAAGCATGAATGTGTTCAGTTCAGAAGCTGAAAAGCACAACACTGTTGTTCAAACTGTGTCGAGATTGAACTGGAGTTGTGGTTCTAAAGGAAAGCCAATTTCCCTTTTAATTTCTGGAAACCAGTGTTGTTTTTAGTTTGGAGTCTGGCAGACATCTACAGTTGAATGTTGGCCAGCTGGTTTAACTTTGACAGAAGAATAATGCTGATAAAAAATTAGATGGGAGGTGAACGTTGGCTTGTCAAAGAAAGAAAATGAGCACGAAATTGTGGTAATTTAGGAATCAATGGCTCCTTGACTTCAGACTGAAGTAGCTATAATTGTTCCACTTTTTCAGCTGTTGTTAACGAGCATGTGGCTGCTCGCTCATATGGAAATGGAAACCTACAAAACAGTCTGAAATATGCATTTGACAACATTATGCATTTCATTTTATTACTCTGCTAATGTTAGCTCCACAGGTTTTTAAGCACAAACGTTATAGAAACGTATATCTCTAACGTTACACCACGGTCACATGAGCGCAAGCATAAACAACAAGCTGTGAAGGCGGACTAGTGATGACTTTTAGTCGTCTCATTTAGCCACTTGTTAGCAACTGCCTTTTTAGAGACGCTCAAAAATCGCAAAATGCATATTCATGTCGTAGAACAAAGTGTTAAAATATATTGTTAACCACAGACATTATTTCAGGCGTCTAACCAAAATAACATAGACTTCAAGACGAGGGAACTGGAAATGCAAAAATGTGGACACATGACTATACTGTATATCAGAAGTGGACGTAGTCATTGTGACATCACTCATTGGTTTGTGGACTGATATTTTGAAGCCTTGAGTTCGTCTCCATCTTGGATTACGACCGCTGCCATGTTGTTTTTCTTGCAACCGATAAACAGAAGTGACCATATTTGGACTGAGGAGGAGTGAAATAGAGATGCCATATACGATTCTGGTAGCGGCAGCGACCTGTCAATCACAGTAGCCCCGCCCTAAAGCATCCCCTGCTTTATGGTCTGTTTGACTCTAAATGGACCATAATGTACTAAATGAACATCATGCTGTATTGAAGAAGACTTGAAACTAGAGATTGAGACCATAAACTCATGTTTACAATGTTTACTGAGGTAATAAATCAAGAGAGAAGTAGAGTCATTTTCTCATAGACTTCTATACAACCAGAGGAGGCGCCCCCTGCTGGACACTAGAGAGAATGCAGGTTTCAAGACTCGCGCATCGGCTTCATTTAGCAGAGTCGGAGGTTGCTGCCTGGACTTTATCCTGCAGCACTCCATTAAAACTACTTCAGCACCACGGACAGCGCCATGGATTCATCAACACACTGCACAGTTAGGCTACCGATATTTCATAGCCGTGGTCGGGACCACAGAGTCTAACTTGTAAAGACCTCAGTCAGATAAAGGATCAATGATGCAGGTAGACTAGATTAAGATATTGAATTTAACAACCTCTCTGTCCCTGTTCTCTCTCTGCTAATGAAGAATGGAGAGGAGGAATGGCAGGATAACAAGGGCCATGCATTTTGGTTGTTTTCTTCACGAAGTGTTTAGCTTCTGGACATGTTGTGGGGTGACGTCACTGTGACTACGCGCACTTCTTATATACAGTCTATAGCTGGACCTAGCGACAGGTACCGACAGGTAATGCTAGGCTATGGTTCATCTCTGTTTGGTGGGTGAGGTTAACACACCGTCAATATTCAAGTGAAAGTTTAATATCCTATAAAATGGAAATAAAAGTGATAGAAAAGCCAAGTGCAACATTACATTGTACGGTTGATTAAATGTACTTATAATGTTCCACCAGCTTTTCTTGAGCTGCGTGGATGTTGAGACGTTAGCTTTATAAGCTAACAGCCAGACAAAGATGTGGAAAGTTCAGATAAAGTTTACCCTCATTTCCTTAATACTACTTCCTATAAACAAATAATTCACTTATTTCTGGGAGTTATGTTCCCTTTGGTAAGACAGCATACATATCTCTAGATTAAAAGTATTGATTTATACACTCAATGAAACCTGCCTCAGGCTTTTCTTGTCAGTAAACAGAAGATGATGTTGTGCTGGAAAAGTGTTGCAGAAGGTCATAATTTCAGCTTTAGTAATTGTTACGAACATTTCTCGTCTCTTGTTTTCTGCGTAATTCAGTCGGCTTCCAAAGTCAAATGGAAATAGATTTTCTTTCCTATTTTATTGACTGACCATCCACATTCAACATGCACTTACTTTTTTTTGGACATCCTGTGCCAATGAAATGTCGTACTAGCTTGGGTAAAACATCAATAAAAGTGCTGTGTAGTTAGAAAGAAGCTTTTTACTTTATGGAGGCACATAAAGTTGAAACGAAAGTGGGCACAATTAACAATACAATAATATGTGGAGGGCACATTGTTTTTTCAGGGACAAGGTTGTTTATCTGTTGTTTTTCTGCCATTTAAATGCAAGGCATTTAAAGCTGCAGGGTATTTCTTGTCCAAGGTTCATTGATTTTGCTGTGAAAATATCTGCTGCAACCAAAATCTGTTGTTCTCAGGGGCATAGTTCTACAGCATAATGCATTGAAATGAAAATCAAGAACAAGAAAGAGCAACATTTTATCTTTAAATTCAAATGATTTAGTAAACGGACTAATTTAAATGGTTAAAAACGATGGAGCAAAACATAAAGTATCTTCTTTAAACTTAAATTGATTGTAGAAAAGTTGTCAAATTAGTTTGACGACAAAAATGTGACAGTAAGACTTAAAGGGACAGGTCACCCCAAAATCAAAAATACATATTTATCAACCTAGATTGTTTTGGTATGAGTTGTCTAGTTTTGCAGATATCTGCTATCGGTTATTTGAGGGAACTGTCCCTTTAACTCCACAATCTTCAATTTATTCACTTTAAAAACAATTATATTGATATTATCCTTTTATTAATGTTCCTCTTGTATTCATTTTACAATGATTTTTTTTTATGTGGAGTTATGTGTATGCATATGTATACATATGTATATATACTGTATGTGTTTACATCTGTACTGTATTTGTGTATATCCTATTAGGTTTCATATACATTTTATCATGAAAACTATTTACTATCTATAAATCTACTATTCAGTGCTTAATGGAACTTTGACTAAAAAGAACATGGAGAAGAACTGTCGTACCAGAAGCTGAGATATTCTGTCTTTTACTGTTATCCCTCTGGGTCCTATATTTCCCACAATGCAGTCTGCCCGAGTACCATAACAACAGATAATTATGCAGAGTTTTTATCATAAATTCGAGGGCTCAAAGACCAAGGTCAAGTTATTTTCTCAGAGTCCTCCAGATCCACAGAAGATGTTCAACAATTGCTTTCACAGGCTGAGTAACAAGTAACCTGATCGTGTATGTGTGAAAATGGCGAAGTGACCCTTTAAAGTGTCTTCTCGTCACAGTGCGTCTCTGTGTGTCTGCAGGGCGAGTGCTCCCAGAAGTGTCAGAGCATGTTTGTGGTGGAGTCCATCTGTGTGGCGTGGTTCACTTTGGAGTTTCTGCTGCGATTCGTCAACGCTCAGAGCAAGCTGGCCTTCGCTCGCGGCCCCCTCAACATCATCGACGCCATCGCCATCCTGCCGTACTACGTGTCCCTGGTCGTGGATGTCAGAGATGAGTCGCAGGAGGACGTCTTCATCGTGGGCGCCGGCAGAGGCTATCTGGACAAACTGAGTCTGATCCTGCGCCTGCTGCGGGCCCTGCGGATCCTGTACGTGATGCGGCTCGCCCGCCACTCTCTGGGCCTGCAGACGTTGGGGATGACCATGCAGCGCAGCATGAGGGAGTTCGGCCTGCTGCTGCTGTTCGTCTGCGTGGCCGTGACCCTCTTCTCGCCTCTGGTCCACCTGGCGGAGAGCGAGCTGGCGCCGTTTGCCGCCACGCACCCCCAACACAGCTTCAGCAGCATCCCGGCCTCCTACTGGTGGGCCATCATCTCCATGACCACGGTGGGATACGGCGACATGGTGCCACGCAGCATCCCCGGACAGATAGTGGCGCTGACCAGCATCCTGAGTGGCATCCTCATCATGGCGTTCCCCGCCACATCCATATTCCACACCTTCTCCCGCTCTTACCAGGAGCTGAAGCAGGAGTACGAGCAGCTGTGGAAGGAGGAGAGAGGCGAGGAAATAGCCGCCGAGTCGGAGGAGAGTTGGTCCAAAATCAATTTGTCACCAAACAAGTTCACGTCTGTGTCCAACGAAAATAATGACGGGCTGATTTCAAGCAAGAGACATCAATCCACAGTTCCATCGACAGCTTTCTAATGGATCGTGAAGAGAGCAGTGAGACACCTTCATTCAGTTATTATGTGTTAGAAATGGTGACAACATACTCTATCCTATATAAGCACATTTAGACCGTTAAGGACTGTTATATTATGGACAGTGTGTAACACTTAAAAGTTCTTGTCTGTTCATGTCCAAACTATATAATACTTATCAGGTTATATTAAGCTTTTTTTTAAATTCATATCAGCAAATAAATTACACACAAACCTTTACTGAAAGTAGTACAGAAATCTGAATTATTTTATTTGTGTAGGAAAATATATAATCTATAATCTTACTGAAACTATGTGCACATTTTCACAAAGAAGTATACATACACATATATGTTAAATACGATTTAATATTTACCAGCGTTGATAGAGACACTCGTGCTGTATAAACACCAAACGTTGATACAAGGCTTTTTTCATTTGGCGTTAGCCGACATTTTTCTAAGTTTGATGCATTTATGTTTTTGTTCCAGTCAGAAAGAAGAAGCTTGTTAGCCTAGCTTGCTAACGTTAGCACTGATTCCCATTAGACGTTAAGGTCTCTAGCTAGCATTAGCCATCTCTCTCACATCATGGTCCAGTTGTGATAATAATTGTATACACACACACCCACATAGCATTAGCTGGCAGCCATTAGCAATTTTGTTCCAGTCAGAAAGATATAGCTTGTTAGCCTAGCTAACGTTAGCGCTGATTTCCCACTACTTTAGTTTTCGTTCATGTTACGTAATTTTAAAAGGGAAAAAGGAGTGTTTTTTCGAACACGGGGCCATGTCGGGTAGAGATCGACTTGAACACAGTCAGTGTTTCTTTAACCCTTTAGCAAATTGTTTTATTTATTAACGGTTATCAAATAACAAAAACTAAAGTTAATTGTCATATTCAATCTTTATTTAAGTAAAGGAGTTTTGCCCACATCCTTTAACACCAACCAAGTAAACTCCTGTTTCCAGGATAGTTGAAATGCGCATTGTACATTGCTTGTAAACATTCTCTACCCACCGCCATTTTCTGGACAGTGCCTGATCGGTACTGCACACGTTTAACTCTCAACAGAGATGAGAAGGAAGCGAGATTGCTCACTCCTCAGATACTTCCATCATCAGCTCCGGAGAAAAAAAAATGTGTTTACTAAGTCAATGGCTAGATTCAGCAGCCCAACGTGGCATTTTACTTGCTTCTGACAATCCTTATTGTTGAGCCCTGCAATCTCACTACAGATGAATTAATACAATTCAAAATTCTTCTTATTTGTATTTACAATTTTGGCCCAAAAAGTGCAAACACACAAAGAGGAGATTTGCATTCTATTGACATCTTAGAAAAAATAATCTTAACTTCATTTCGACTTTAAAGGAAAAAACAATTAATTAGAACTTTTATTTTCTAATTTTGATGTTGTTTGCAGATTAAATGAGTAATTTAGAAAACCATGAGGGTAGATGAACACAAACGTAAGTAACAATACAGAGAAACAAATACAAGCACAAACAAAACAAGTCACTTTGTCCATTACTTCACTGTTTATTTTATGTTTGTATTTCAATCACACGTCTAATGAACGTGTTGCTTTCACGCCACCAACTCTCACATCTTTGATGTTGGGAGTGTCCTTAAATGCACCATCATGCTGCATTATCAAGTGACAATGATTTCTGCGCAAGTGATGGTGACAAAATCTTCACTGTGAAAGATTTCACCGAATACGTGTCCCGTCTCTGTCGGTTAATTTTCAAGTGGATATCAGTTTGCTGTCTGGAAGGTAGGAAAGTAATTTAAACACCTTCGGTTTGCTGTGGAAAATCACGAGCAGCCGTGTTTAAGACGTGTATTTAATGTGTAGATTAATGTCATAATCTTGTTGCTCTTCTTGTCTCGCTGTTTGTCCAACCAGGCACTTTTAAAATTGACAATAAAATCTATTGCTGTTATTTTTAACTGCCTTAGCGTATGAATGGTTTGTTCACTCTGCTTGAAAGTCATGAAAGTAGTTCTCGACAAAGGAACCTCATACTGTAGCTCCTGACCTTGAAGCACTAGTTTAACTATTTAAAGTTACAACAAGCAACGTTCATTTTATGTCGGTTTTGTCGGTCCCCGTGGACGAAAGCGGGATCACCAGATCACCAGACTCCCTTTAAGAAACCTCTCATTCTACTGCAGCAAGGTCTGACAGTCTGCCCCTCTCAGTCTTGGTTCTCCCGTGCCTCCCTTCCCCCCAGCAGGTCCAGCAATACGTCCTCGGTCTCCAGCAGCGTGGTGTCGGTGTTGGCTCCCAGAGAGGAGGAGCTCTGCTCCTGGAGGAGGAGGAGGAGACGCTGCTGCTGCCGGGAGCTGAGCTCTCCTCCTCCCTCCGGAGCTCCGACTGCAGCGCCTCAGACTAACTTTAAAGAACCCCACAGAACCCCCCCGCTGACCTCAAGATTGAAAGAGACTGTGGTAGTGTAATGTAATTTCTTATCTTTACCTAATAAATTTACATTACACTCATTTAGCAGACACTTTTATCCAAAGCGATTTACAATTCAGAGTCTATCACATTTCTACACCGTAGGCACAGCTACGGGAGCAATTTTGGGGTTAAGTGTCTTGCTCAAGGACACATCAACATGCGACTAGCGGAGCCGGGGATTGTAACCGCCGACCCTCTGATTGAAAGACCGCCCTGCTATCCACTTAGCCACAGTCGCCCGTTTACTGAGATGAGTTGATTGAGTTGAACATTAATAGCTATAAACTGTGCAGCACATCTGTTTCATGCCCTGTATTGGAGCCATGATAAACTGCATCACTCCTATCTAATAAAATAAATCTAATTTAATGCAAACAAACAGAAATCATCTTTACATTCAGTGTTACTCACCATTGTGTGTATCCTTGAGGTCCAACAAATGTGTTTCCTTTGCATTAAACATTTGCAAAGCTGATTTTTTATTAAAAGTTTCAACGCTGAATTGTTTGCAACCGTTTATAAGCTCTTCTTCTTCACTTTGCCGGCACATTGCTGCATTTCTTGTCACATTACCACCACGGTGGTGGTAATGTGACAAGGTGGTATAGGTGGTGCCACCGCCTATAGATCAGCGGGATAGAGTGAAACCATTTGCAGGAGTGTGTATTATGTCATTCATGTACCCACTTTTAAAAATACTGCTCCGTAGCACTACTAAAAGCATTTAATGCATACTGTACATGTGAGGATTAGATGTATTTAATATATAACTTCAGCTTTAACAATCAAAGAGGAACATTATAATGGCTATAATGATAAAAATACAACATTGTGAAAATACTACAAAAGTAAAGTAAGTATTATCAGCAAAATGCATCTGAAGTAAAAGTACTGATTCAATAAAATGTTAAAAATGTAGTGAATTAGAAAGTACAATATATACCTCTGAGATGTAGCACTCTAAAAAATACAATATATACCTCTGATATGTAAGTAAATAGTACAATATCTAGCTCTAAAATGTAGTGGGGTAGAAGTGTAAAGTAACATAAAAAGGAAATAGGAACTGCAAAGTACCTTGAAGTTGTAATTACTTGAGTAAATGTACTTAGTTACATTCCACCTGTCATGATGTGACTTATTTGCATTCTAATAACTGGGATATCATAGTATTTTAACTATCATTCTGACATTTGACAATTGACGACAGCATTTATCATTTTTCCCTCGGACAGAATTATTATTTAAATGAATGCTGAAGTGAAGATTTATCAGTTCGTGTGCACGGTTTGTCCTCTGATGCATTTGAAACCAAGCAAACTCTCCTCGCGCTGACATCTGCTGTTGGTGTTTGTGGAGACAGATGGAGTGTTTTTGAAGGGCCTCTTTCTGTCGCCGCAGAACTTCTTCAAACACTGTTGCTGGCATGGTTACTTTCACTCAAACCACAAACAATGGAGACATTGTAAATTCACCAACAGTCACTTGTTCTTGTCCGCCACCACCTCTTCTTTTTCCCTCCAACCTGCACCCCCCCGCTGTCCTCACAGAGGAGGACAAAAACCTCAAACAAAGGAAGGGAATTACGGGATTGATTTGCAAAGTGCCCTTCATAACCTCATCAATAAATACAGCCATTAGCGAAGGAGAACTGTGAGTAAATCAGCATCAAATCACACATTTTTAACATCATAAAGAGAATTAAGTTGACATCTCTTGTTGAAAACACCGTTTACTCGTCATCAGATGTCAAATGATACTCAACATCAGTGGTAGAAAGTAACTAAGTACACTTACTAAAGACTTGCTCTTCCCTTCTCGAAGGGAAATATATTGGATTTTGTCTCTGCTCCATTTATGTGAGAACTTACTTTTGCAGATTGAGATTGAAAATACAAAATATAATCAACAAATACATTATGATGTATTATTTTGAATATTCTCCATATTCTTTGTAACTTGAATGTGAATAGGAATGTGTCTTCAACTTCTATTCTATTTGTATGGGTAGCACGCTAACACGCCAAACTAAGATGGGAACAGCGTTCTCGCAGTCCTTACATCTTCTTTGAACACTTGGTCTCTGCAGTGGTAGACGCCGGCTTCTTAAAATCTTCCAACAGTTTCTTCGCCCAGTCCCAATCAGGATCGACACAAAACTCCTTCTTGCATACAGTTGTGATTCTGTAAGAAACACACACATGTTGTACATTGTTAGAAACACAGCGGTAAAGCAAGTATTCAGGTCATGTACTTGTACATAAGTGTTGTAATCGATACTTTTACAACATGGTGAGGTTGTTCTGTTATTTTGCATACCCTCATTGATTTAAATGAGGTGGACAAAATAATAGAAACACAATACAGGTCAACATCCTTATAATAATTGTAATCAAAACAAACTGGACATTGTAACCTTCGTGAATGAGGATTTGTTGCAGGACTGTATTATTAGACTGCTGTACCTAATACAATTATAACTGAGTGCATAATAAATGATCAGCTTATTATCACAATAGCAACCATTGTTAAACAGTTGTAGCTTGTCGAGGTAGAGCTCTCTTTAACTACTTTGTATATGTAGTTTAATCTGTAATAGAGCTTCATATTTTGTCACATGTATGTAAAATAGGAATCTCCAAAGCTACCAGAGTAGCTGTAAATGCAATGATGCAAAAGGTACAATATTATCCTTTGAATTGTAGTTGTGGAAATATAAAGTAGCAGAAAATAGAAATAATTGAGTTTAAGTACATAAGGGGAGACACTACAGGTGAACAGGGTAAAATATGAACTAATAGATATCACCATGAAACTTCACCAGTTCATTACTGACATTAAGAGGATTATTTTTTGTATTACAAGTTTTATGAAATGTTCTGTTTAAATATACCCATGAGGCATTATCTGATCAAATATGTGCTAATTTGCATCAATTTCCAGAACAGAAATTTGAATATTGAATATCTCTTTGTATGATTCCTTAAATCAGAAAATACTGTCAAGAGTTATTTAAAATAATCTGTTCTCCATGTTTTTATTATTAAATGTATAAATGAGTCTCTGAATGCTGTGTGAACAAACCCCTCTGCGTTAACCTTCAGAGTACAGAGAGGAATGAAAGTGTAAAGTTTGGTGAATGTAAGAGCTGCTGAAGTGGAGATTTCTGGATCAGAGTCTGAGAACAAACTCATTTAGAGGAAACGTCCTTTAAAGAGACGTTTAGTTACATTACATTTTGACATTTTAAAGCTTTTCTCATTTGCAAGATCTTCAATGCAAAATACACCAGCAGTGCAACATAACATATGGTCAGATGTGCTGAGCATGAACAGGTGTGGACACTTACATGATGGATTTGGATCTGCAGTCACTCGGGGTCATCCCCACATGTGCCACCTTTCCTTTGGGAATGGGATTTCGATTGTAGCCTCGACAGCATCCGTCCCTCTGCACTGACAGTGCGACCGGTGCTGTGAACACAGATGCACACATTTAATACCTAACGCGGTTGAGACTGACGGCTCAAAGAGAAACCAAGCATGAGTTACTGACCGGCAGAAATGTGACCCAGGAAGCAGATCAGAAGAACGAGAGGCACCAGAGTCTTCATGGTTCAGAGTCAGAGGAGCTTCTGTTTGGATGAAAAGCCTTTAATCTTCTGTGTTAGAAACCTGCTCTGTGACCCCTTTATATACACAGCTCATGTCTCCATGGCCTTCCAGTTACCTTCTCAGAAAACAGCTGGTGCTTTCCCTCCTCTGTTTCCTCTTATTCTCTTTCCTTTTATACTAACATGTAGAACAATTCTGCAAAAAGCCATACACAGAATTCAATGTGGGCTTTCTACTGTCGCTTTCTTTTTTAGATCACGCAGGATATAACTGCTGAGATTAAGAAATGACTTTTAGCTGGAAAACAAACACAATAATATAAGTCTATCAGTCAATATGCGTTTGTAGCCAACATTACAAACGTAATGGATTTAATTAGAATAAAATCACTAATAACAGAACTGTGTAGTGATCATTAAACATCTACTCATACTTAACATGTCTGTGTCAAAAATGCTCATAAAATGATGTAGAAATATTATTTTACACTTAATCTTTTAAGTAACATCAGTCATGATCATAACTACCACGTATTCATTCATTGTCAGTATTTGCAGCCTTTAAATTAAATGCCACTGTTGTTTTTTATGTAAATAAATAATAACACATAAATTGAATTATTTTCTGTCCACTAAATACTACGGGGAGATTTATTCTTCACAGTCTGAGTTACGTCAGTTATCAGGAAGAACATCGATGTTGATGTATTGCAATAAACACTGCAGAGCTCCATTAATATAATAAATAATCCTGTACAGTATTTACCCCACAGGGCAAAGAACATGAAATGACTCAATCTGGTGGAAAATATTTAAAACTACATTTTAAAGCCAGAGGGCTCCAGATTGAAAGCCTCATAACAGAACACATGAATTTATATTGTTTTTAATGGGAAAATGTTTGTCCTGTCTGTATTTTGGCTACACAGTTTATTACGAACACACACTTGCCAAAACTTGTGCCATATTCATTAATACAGCCAACATGATCCCAAAATTAAAAAGCCCCAAATTCACCCCTGTGCAACACAAAGGTTAAGTACAATTTTGAAGTACTTTTGAGTAAATAAATACTTAAAAGGTCGACTGTCATTAAATTAATAAAGAAAAAGTAAAAATGTTGTTTAATATGTATTCTTAGATTTTATTATCTCAACTCATTCTAAATACTTTTGCGCTTTGCATTGTGTACACTCAAAAAATCAAGTATTTTCCAGTATGTGTACTTGGTGTACTAGATTTGATTATACTTCATTTTGTCACTTTACAAGCGTGAACGCGCCACATAATCAAAAGCTGCTCAGTTAGTGTGCTGCACAAAACTGTGACTCAGATTCAGAGTTTTCTGTTTCAGTGATTTAGTTGACTGAAGTAGAAGTTATAGTAGTAGTAGAAATTCTAGTACAATTATTAGGTAGTATGTAGAGGTAGTATAGGCTTACATCTAGACTAACAATAGCAGTATTAAATAACTAGGTATAGTAGTAGTAATCGTGGAAGTGTAGTAGTATCTGAAGTAGTAATCCCAGTTGTGGAAAGTAACTAAGTACATTTCCTGAAGTATTGTACTTAAGTACAATTTTGAGATACTTGTACATTACTTGAGTATTTCCATTTACTTGTACTTCCTTGTATTTTTTATTAATTTCCATGTACTTTTCACTACATTCATGTAAGAGATATAGTTACTTTTAAATCAAGATTAATTACAAAATTAAAGTACATGTCAATACTAATGATCCAGGAGCCGTTCTGTATAATGAGTACTTTCACTTTTGATACTTTAAGCGTGATTTGTTGCTAAAACGTCTGTACTTATACTTAACTTAACATTTGATTGCAGTTTTGCTACTTTTACTTATGTAAGTCGATCAGAATACTTCTTCCACCACTGAGTAGTACTAGCCATGGCATCACAATAGTACAGTGTACATAATAGTATTTTGGTAGCAGTAGTTGTAGCAGTGGCATCAGTAGTGATACTAGCAGTGTAAGTAGTAGTATTAGTCACATTATTAGCATAATGCTGTGAGTTGACATGTGGACGACAAGTGATTTTCACTTCCTCTTCCATTTCCACCTGAAACAGCATGTCAGCATTTCTGAGAACGAACTGAGACTGTTTTCACACAGTTGAAGTCATTCACAATAAATATATCTGTACTTCATTATTCTGGTTATAAGATGAAAATCATTAAATGAGGAAACTAATTTTTCCCCCTTTTCTTACTCCTGTAATCTGCAGAAGTAACGTGATTAGATGTGTTGATACATGATTTAACACTATAAGATTCATTCTTCTTTATCGGCATAAAGAACACAGGTGGAGTATCGACAAAAAAAGGGTCAAGAAGAAGAGCAGTGGGCCGAGTAAGACTCCCTGAGAACCCCAAAGAAGTGGAAAGTAACCAAGTACATTTACGCAAGTACAATTTTAGTTCAATTAATTAAATTACTTGAGTATTTACAATTTAATGCTGCATTTTACTTAAATATACTTCTTTTCAGAGTGAAAGTATTTTCTTTTTACTGCACTACTTTGTTTTGCAGCTATAGTTAGTACCTACTTTGGTTTTACAGACTCAATCTCTTATAAAATGTGATGCAGTGTTACACATTAAAGGCCCAGCACACCGACACACAGGTGTTTTCAGATTAAAGGATCGTTTCACGTATTTGACATTTTACAACACTGGATTGTAAAATGAAATATAAGTTGTAGTCCTTTCACACTACACACATGCTAATATTTAAATTAGAATATAATAAAACAAAATATATACACACCGCATTTAGGTACATTATGGCTGATTAAAGTTGGGATTCATGTGAGGTCACGGTGTACTTATAGGAATGATAAAGTTGTAACTTTGGCACAAGATAAATAAAGACAAGATAAAATAGGACTGAGAGTCTACAACGTCCTTAGTTTTGCAGGTATTTGGTCTTAAAGCAGCGTATTGGACACATTAAAATGTTCACCTGATGATGGCGCTGGATGAAAAGTCAATCAGAGGAAGTCATTATAATTCATCCAGGGGAACAGGACTGTTTCATGGCAATCCAATCAAATAGTTTTGCTGGATGACAAGTCAGACGATCACCAATGTCAGTAACTTTAATATTTGTAGCATATTATACAGGAATCCATGTTATAGACCAAAGTGATGGACCAACATTGCTCTCACTAGAGCCACACTGTTAGCATGCTAGCATGCTAGCTTGACTCAAATGTATAAACTTTCAGGTCACAATTTAAGAATTTGAAAGGGATCATTTTGCAAAATGAGTACTTTTACTTTAAGTAAGATTTTGAAAACAGGACTCTTGCTTGTTATAGTATTTTATTTACACTTCACTATTGCTACTTTTTACTTTAAAATGTCTTCACACTTCTTCCAAAAGTGATTATGATTATTACCTCAAACATTTGACTTGTATTTTATTCTTCATTCTCATCTATGCAACTGAAGGAAGCTCCGTATCAATACAATTTATAACATATAGTACGGTAGACTTGCACTAATGTACAGGATGGTACCAGTCACTATCGTGGTGTATATTTAGAGTAGTGTTTGTAGTTTTACTTCAGTTTCAAGTGTATCTATCTACTCAATACAACATATATACGACTGTGTAGAAAAAGGCTGCTGAAATGCTTCTATGGTCAAAATGAGGGAACGTTTATGTAAATGTCTTAATTTACAACCAATAATTACAAAATAAATGTATTATCAATGAAGACACAAGACAACGTATAACTGCCCAGCTAAGTACTTTTCTTTTCCTATTTTCACTTCCTCGTCTCGCTGCAGCAGCTTTTCCTCGAACATGCTGCATACTTGGCATTAAACAAACTTTCTTGTTTTGAAATTCCCAGCAAGACAAAGGAAGCTCGTTTTTGCTTTTAACCACAAATTCTTCCTCATTCTCAAAATAGAACCTGATTTCTTTGACATCATTCTTCCCCTAACCTCTATGTATATATACATATACATACACATATATATACATACACATATATATATACATACATATATATATACACAAATACATATATATATACGTATATATACATACATATATATACACATATACATACATATATATACACATATACATACATATATA